GCCTGACGCAGGAGAGTTGCTAAGATGCCATGGAGTGCCCATTTAGTCACTGGCAATCTAGGCAAGTTGCCACTTTCTGGGTTTGTGGTGACGGAGCGGGGGCCGAGAGGCACAGACCGAGTCCCGGGTGGCTTCAGGCAGCTCCAGGCAGCTCCAGCCCAGTCCTAAGAATCCTTTTCACCATAGTCACGTGCCTTAGTAACTGTGCCCAGAAAGCGGCCTGCTGCTTCTGTGCTGCGGCTTTTCCTACTTCTGCCACCCCTCGAATGTCTCAGCCGACAACCAATTCCTTGTCTTCCTAGTCCCCTGGGGAAAGGGCTAAGAAACAGTCCACGTGCACCCTGACCCTATTAGCCTAAAGTAGGCAGAGGGGTGTGGAGAAGCCTAGAGTACAGAGCTCTGGGGGAGAAGCCTGCTAGTAAGGGGTGCTCTCCCGTAGCCGTATATGAAATGCTAACTAGGCTGAGGAGGGCAAGCTTTTTGAGCTGCTGTCATCTTCAGAACACTGCGGCTGGGAAAATTCAAAGCAGACCCTATGCTGCATGTCTGCTCCTCCCCTGAGCCTCTCTGCTTGCGGACAGTAAGAATAATAAAAAGCCCAGTATGTTTTCAGTGCCTTACCCAACAGCGTTGGCTCCAAGCATCGGTGGCCTGTGGGAGGAGGGGAGTGGTCACACTCATACGGGCACTTTACCATCTGGTCTTTCTCTGGCCTCTTGCTGCCACTTGTAGTGAAAACGCAGCAGGAGGCAGGCTGTTAAAACAGAGGCTGCCCAAGGAGCCCAGAGCAGGTGAAAGCAGTTCACGTCTAAGACATTCTAGCTAACGGCAAATCCAGGAAAATGGCCAACACCTAAAGACATTTAAAAATGTTTTGGGGGTTTTCTTTTTTTTTTTTTCTACACACTTAAGATAACTCAATATAGGTTATCCTGGTGACTTGCAGTCACATTCCAATAACTTTCAAGGGCCAAAATATGGTTAAAACTCACTTAAAATGGGCTGGGCGCGGTGGCTCAAGCCTGTAAAAAATGGGCTGGGCGCGGTGGCTCAAGCCTGTAATCCCAGCACTTTGGGAGACCGAGGCGGGTGGATCACGAGGTCAAGAGATCGAGAACATCCTGGTCAACCTGGTGAAACTGTCTCTACTAAAAATACAAAAAATTAGCTGGGCATGGTGGCGCGTGCCTGTAATCCCAGTTACTCAGGAGGCCGAGGCAGGAGAATTGCCTGAACCCAGGAGGCGGAGGTTGCGGTGAGCTGAGATCGCGCTATTGCACTCCAGGGGGGTAACGAGCGAAACTCCATCTCAAAAACAAAAACAAAAAAAACTCACTTAAAATATCCATCCCTTCCACGCCTTAGTTTAACAGGTAGGCTTTATCTTTTGCCGTTTCTGTACTTTATGGGCTACTTACCTGTCTCATAACCCCTCTAAACATATACAAAAGACCACAGGTTTAATAGCTTGTCTTCTCATAAAGGGGCGCCAATGTTGCAGCCAATTGTCAAGATATAACCCTGCTACTCTTTTCCTACAGTAAAAGGAACCATTTCAGACTCTCTTAGCTTGTGATCTTGATTGGCAAGTAGCAATAGCTGACTTTATTGGTAATATCAGCTTCCAAGCTGATATTTACCAGCCTCCAAGCTCCTTAATGTTTTACAAACTATGCCTGTTAAAATGTATCTATTGTTGTGCTACCTTCAGCAGCACATTTACTAAAATTGGAAAGATACAGAGAAGATTAGCTTGGCCCCAAATTCGTGAAGAGTTCCCTATTTTTTTATGCAGCAATAAAAAAGGATGAGTTCATGTCCTTTGCAGGGACATGGATGAAGCTGGAAACGATCAGTCTCAGCAAACTGACACAGGAACAGAAAACCAAACACCGCATGTTTTCACTCGTAAGTATGTGTTGAACAATGAGAATACATGCACACAGTGAAGGGAACATCACACACTGGGGTCTGTGAGGGGAGTGGGGGCGACTAGGGAAGGTATAGCAAGGGGTGGGAGGATTGGGGAGGGATAACATTAGGAGAAATATCTAATGCAGATGACGGGGGGATGGACGTAGCAAACCACCAAGGCACGTGTGTACCTATGTAACAATCCTGCACGTTCTGCACATGTACCCCAAAACTTAAAGTATAATTTTAAAAAAATTTACCAGATAATCTGTGACAATATTAATAACTTGCTCCCTTTAGAAGCAAGAAAAAAAATTACCTATTGTTGTCTCTATGCTCTTGCTTCATGCCACTACTGTCTCTACAGATGGTTCAAAAAAAGAAACTGAAAAGACAGCTATCGCGTAGCAAGATGCCGTGCAAAACGGGCAACGCAAAATCCAGGAACATTTTTAAACTACACAGCAGGTGGAGTTAGGTGCCCCAATAATGGTTTTACAAACCTTTCCTCACCAAGACATAAAGAGAGTTAGCATCACTCATTTAGATCTTGCACAGGTGAAGGGCATTACTAATGAATGTTTACCAGCTTCCTTTCTGACCACACAGGAGCTCCTCAGTGCCCATCATCGCCCTCTTTAGATCCCCCATATTCGCTCTCATTCTTGGTTACCTGGTCCCGTATCGGAAGAGAACGCTTGAGCTGACGCTCTGGTACAACCACAGATGTGGTTTGCAGACTTTCCTGCATTTTGCCAGCTCAAGCTGATCATGCTTTGTTTCATCAGAACACTCGCAGTCTTAAACAACAGTTTCATTTAACACTTGCTCAAGCTCTCATGATTATTAAAACTCGTCCTGATTGCCAATGGCATTCTCTCTCTTCTTTTCCTTAGGCTTAATGCCAACCCACAGTAGCAACAGGAGGTGGTATGAAATTATTAGAGGAGGCAGATTTGGGATGATACCATAATGGTGAATGCACGTCATGATCTATCTGTCAGTCTACAGACTGCACAACACCAACAGTGAAACTTACAGACTCAGTGATAACAACGTATCAATGCTGGCCTGGTGCAGTGGCTCACTCTGTGATCCCAGCACTTTGGGAGGCCCAGGTGGGCGGATTATGAGGTTAGGAGTTCAAGACCAGCCCGGCCAACATAGTGAAACCCCGTCTCTACTAGAAATACAAAAATTAGCCAGACATGGTGGCACAGGCCTGTAGTCCCAGCTACTCAGGAGGCTGAGGCAGGAGAATCGCTTGAACCCAGGAGGCGGAGGCTGTGGTGAGTGGAGATCACACCACTGCACTCCAGCCTGGGCAACAGAGTGAGGCTCTTTCTCAAAAAAAAAAAAAAAAAAAAAAGTATCAATGTAGATTCATCAGTTACAACAAATAGACCACATGGATGGGAGGTGTTGAGAATGGGGGAGGCCATCCAGGTGTTGGGGGAGAGCATATGGAAAATCTCTGTACTTTCTGCCTAATTTTGTTGTGAACCTAAAACTGTTCTTAAAAAATGAATCTTTGGAAAAAACACCTGACAATAAGGATTGGTGAGGACAAGAATCAAATGGAAAAATGAACTCATACGTTAATGGTGGGAATGTTCACTAACAATATTAGTGAGGCTGAGAACACCTATACCGCAAAGTCCCAAAACACTCACTTCTAGGTATGAACCAATAAAACCTCCTGCACACATTAGCAGTGGTGTTATAGCAACATTGTAGTGTCTACCAACAGGAGAGTGAAAATAGATTATTTATACAGCAGTGGTTATATGTGAACTAAAGCTACAAATATCAAACACAAATAAATTGCATAAATATGTTGGGGAAAAAAGCAAGCTGTAGAATTATAGTATATAATACTTAAATACATTTCAAAGTCAGGCAAAACAGTAATACTGTATTTCAAGGATTCTAAAATGTTATCAATTACTGACACACTATTTTATGTGCAAGAAAAAGTACATCATTAAAATATGACACACTGTCAACTGTAAGATATATTCTGATGTCAGAATGTTAAAATGTGTACTTTTCATGGATGAAATCCAGAAAATGTTGTTTAGAGACATGTGCACTAAAAGTCTAAGGAAATATATGGGAATGATACTTTTCTAATCCATTACAGTGCTTGCCTCTGTAGGAAGAGAGGAACAGAGGAAGGGGTCATATGAGGGAGAGGTTAAAAACAATACAAGGCGGCCTATTATAAAAAGAAAGAGGCCAGGTGTGGTGGCTCATGCTTGTAATCTCAGCACTTTTCTGGGTGTGGTGGCGCGCACCTGTAGTCCCAAATCCTTGGGAAACTGAGGCAGGAGAATCACTTGAACCCAGGAGGCAGAGGTTGCAGTGTGACCAGATCAGCCACTGCACCCCATTCTCTAGCAACAGAGCAAGACTCTGCCTCTAAATAAATAAATAAATAAATACTTCTGTATGTGTTACTTATATACAAATTATCTCCAAAAAGGTAGATAAGACATACGATCCAGCAAAAGTAAATACCACATCCCTTGTTGGAAGACCTTATCCTTTTAGTCCATGACCCTGTGCAAGCAGTGCCAAATACCACTTTGTCACAATTTAACAGCCCAGTGTGGCTGGCCAAAAAGGCCTCCAGGCATGGAAGCTGACCAAAGACTCTCACAGGCTGAATGCCAAGATCTCATCCTTGGCCCCTGCAGTGTCAGCTATTACCACCATTACCAAGACGGTGGAGGAACCTACTGGAGACTGATATGCAGCACGCGGTCACGCCATCTCAGCAACCTGGTGATGGCATCACAGTCACATGGCCCGTCACAATCCTACCTGAGACACACACGGTAACGCACACACAGTGCCCCCACAAACAAGCTATTCCAGATGCACAGATGCAAATCTCATAGCAACACAAGACAAAAGACGCACGCAGGCTCTTGTGGGCGGGCTCGGAACACGCACCCGCAAGCGCACGCGCAGACCCACCAAAGCAAACACCCGCGAACACCCATAGGCAACCCCAGACAAAAACGGTCCTACAGCTCCCGGCCGGCACAGGCTGGCCTCTATGGAGCATGCAACCTTCCTACCTGGTTCTCCTGGGTACAAGCAGCAGCGCCTCGCACGCCTTCATTCACCCTGGGAACACGGGGACCGCAGCCCCAGGGCCAGGACCGGCCTGCAATGGCCTCTGGGAAATGAAAGGGGAAAGGCGGGAAACGCTTGTCGCGAAGGGTTATGGGGCTCGTAGTTCAGAGGGCGAGGCGCGTGCTCCCAATGATGCAAACCGCGTGCAGGCTCAGATACTTCCTAGAGCTACAGTCCCGCGCCATCCCAGGGTTCAGCTGGAAGTACTAAGGCTGAGGCCCCAGCCGCTGCCCCTGCACCGGGAAGAAGCGATGTGGGGAGAGGAAGGGCCGAGCAGAGGGAGGAAGGAAGGGTTCTAAGGAGCTCTTGCCCACCAGCTCAGCTGAAGGTGCTGCTGTCAGGAAGCCCGAGGGTTGGAGGCTACACCTGGGAGAAGAGCTCTCTGAGGATGCATGTCCAAGGGAACCAACAAGCCAAGAAGTCAGACCTGCAATTCACCTTAATTTGGGCATCTCACTGCATCATAACGGTGCTCAGAGGCTGGAAGATAAACGGGAGACTCAGTTTTTCTGGCGTCCCAAGCCAGCCAGAGCAGGAAAAAGAGGCCGTGAGGACTGAGGGAACAACTATGAAAATATCTCTCTTTGGAGGAGTTGGAACTCCTGATTCCCAGCTAGGAAGGGAAGTCTTCGGGGAACTCTTATGTCAGGACAACCCATGATGCAAGTAGTCTTTCATGGGTGTCGGGCCCCTGGGGATTTATTTGGGGATGTCCAGCACCAGGGCTCACCAACCTTTATCGCATGTGCTCGGGGCTCACCAACCTTTATCGCATGTGCTACCCAAGGCAAGGCAATGGCTTCCTATGGCCAATATATGCTCAAATTTTCTGCAAGAGTTGGGGTATTTGACCTTTATCTTTGGGACCAGACTAAACCAACTACCTGGATGGTATGGAGGAAAGGATTCTCCACTTGATGGCAGTGAGAAGGAAGGGTCAGCAAAAGGGACCAAGAACAAATGGTCCATGTCATAGTCCTTCCCAGCCTTCACCACGGCACAACCAGAAAATGGTAATATTTGTATGCCACACTGTAGTTGTAAAATTAGAGTATAGGTTAAGGTGATATAGCAAAGATCCTAAAATACATATTAAGTGACCTGAATACCATGTTTATTTCTGCCTTGTGTAAGAGTCTCAAGCTGAGCAGTCCAGGGCTAATGGGATAGCTCTGCCTTCCAGCATGGGTAGTATCCGTCTTTGGGGCAAAGGGGGATGTTAAAATTCTCAGTATCTCCCAGCCAGTAGGGAAGGAGAGGGCAGAGGAAGCAGGCACAGTGCTTTCTAGGGTTGCAGTCCAGAAATTACACTCATCCCTTTTGCTCACATTTGTTAAACTGCACTGCACAAAAATTAGAAACTGTTGTGCATCACAGGACATTATGAAGACAGTCAAAAGATAGCCTAAAGAATGAAGGAGGGCCGGGTGTGGTGGCTCATACCTGTAATCCCAGCACTTTGGGAGGCCAAGGCAGGCAGATCACGAGGTCAAGAGATCAAGACCATCCTGGCCAACACGGTGAAACCCCATCTCTACTAAAAATACGAAAATTAGCTGGGCGTGGTGGCATGAACCTGTAGTCCCAGCTACTCAGAGGCTGAGGCAGGAGAATCGCTTGAGACCTGGAGGCAGAGGTTGCAGTGAGCCAAGATAGCGCCACTGCACTCCAGCCTGGCAACAGAGCGAGACTTCATCTCAAAAAAAAAAAAAAAAAAAAGAATAAAGGAAAATATTTGCCAATCAGGTATAGGATAAGGGTCTATTATTTAATACATATTAAGATTTCTTTGTGACTCAACATGAAAAGACAAAAAAACAAATTAAACTTTGGGTAAAAGACATGATGAGTAGACATCTAGGCAAATAAGATATGCAAATGACCAATAAGCTTTGAAAAGATGTTTGACATCACTAGTCATTAGTGAAATGTAAATGAAAACCACAGGAAGGTACCACTTCACATCTACTAGAATGGCAGTAATCAAAGAAGGAGACAGTGTCGGTGAGGATGCGAAGATACTGGAAAACCGGCACATTGTTGGTGGGAATGTAAAATAGTTCAGCCACTGTAGAAAATGATTTGGCAGTTCCTCAGAAAGCTAAATGGTGAATTACCATATGACTTAATGATTCTTACCCTAAGTATATACCCAAAAGAACTGAAAGCAAGAACATGCACACACATGTTCATGGCTGCACTATTCACAATAGCCAAAAGGTGGAAATAACCCAGATGTCATTCAACAGATGAATAAAGTTACCAGGTTACCAATAAAGTTACCAAATAGACAAAATTACCAGTTGTGGTAATTCATACAATGGAATATTACTCAGCCATTAAAAAAATAACAAAGCGCCCGGGTGCAGTGGCTCATGCCTGTAATTCCAACATTTTGGGAGGCCAAGGTGGGTGGATCACAAGGTCAGGAGTTTGAGACCAGCCTGACCAACATGGCGAAACCCCGTCTCTAAACACAAAAATTAGCTGGGTGTGGTGGTGTGTGCCTGTAATCCCAGCTACTCAGGAGGCTGAGACAAGAGAACCGCTTGAACCTGGGAGCCAGAGGTTGCAGTGAGCCGAGACTGCGCCTGGGCTAGAGTGGACTCCGTCTTAAAAATAAAAAAAGAACGAAGTATCGATAATGCCACAACATGGGTAAAGCCGCAAAACATCATGCTAAAGAAGGTAGATACAAAAGGTTTCATACTGCAGCATACAATTTATACGAACTATCGAAAATTTTTAAAAAGCCGTAGAGATGGAACACAGATTAGTAGTTACTAAGGAACAGAGGAAGGGAGGAATGGGGGAGAAACTGCTTAATCAAAAAGCAGTTTTCCTTTGGAATGATGGAAACGTTTTGGAATTCGAGGTGGCTGTTGCCCAACACTGGGAAGGTACTAAATGCCACTGAGTTGTTCACTTTAAAATGATTACTTTCATATGATGTGATTTTTACTCAATAATTATTTAAAAGTGTAAATGGTCTAAACATCCCAATTAAACAGATTTTCAGGCTAAATTGTTAAAAAGCACCCACCTGTATGATGCCTATGAGAAACCCATTTTAAATATAGAGAAGACGGTCGGGCATGGTGGCTCACACCTGTAATCCCAGCACTTTGGGAGGCCAAGGTGGGTGGATCAGCTGAGGTCAGCAGTTTGAGACCAGCCTGGCCAACATAGTAAAACCCCGTCTCTACTACAAACACAAAAATGAGCCAGGTGTGGTGGTGTGCGCCTTTAATCTCAGCTACTCAGGAGACTGAGACAGGAGAATCGCTTGAACCCAGGGGACGGAGGTTACAGTGAGCCAAGATGGTGCCACTGCACTCTAGCCTGGGCGACAGAACAAGACTCTGTCTCAAAAAAAAAAGAAAAGGAAAAAAAAGAAAACTACGGAAGGAGCTGCATGGCTTCTCTTAATTGCTTTTCGTAAAATGTGAGAAAAGAGGAAAAATGCAAAGACATAATTTATAGTTAAAAGTGAAGCAGAATATAAAGATTTGAAAAATTTTCAGCTTGGCCATGTAAAGAATAAAAAGGGGTATTTAGATGAGAAACCAAGGGTGTGGCTAACTGGCTAGAAGGCTAGTTCACCACTATTGTGCTGTTCATCAAAATAGTGGGAGAATGACCCTAGAGACATTTTAGAGACCTCTGAGGTTGCCATGCCCACCAAAGGCCCAGAGTAGCAGGGCTTTGAGGGCAGAAAGGTTTTGAGAGAGAGGCCCAGGGTGCCCATGCGACCTTGAGGCCCAGTGCCCAGGGCTGCCTCAGCTCTCTGCTCCCTGCATTCCAGCACAGCACTCTGCAGCTGCCTCTGTTGTGGCTCAAGCTGGCCCAGGATGACTCTGGTTGCTGCTCCAGAGGGCACAGTGGTGAGCTTTGGTAATGGCCACATGGTGCTATTTCTGCAGGTGGGCAGTGCAAGAGACATTGAGGTGTGGCTTCCTCCACTTAGATTTTAAAGTATGTCTTGGCCAGGCTCAGTGGCTCACACCTGTAACCCCAGAACTTTGGGAGGCCAAGGAGGGTGGATCACAAGGTCAAGAGTTTGAGACCAACCTGAACAATATGGTGAGACCCTGTTTCCACTAAAAATATAAAAATTAGCCAGGCCTGGTAGCACATGCCTGTAATCCCAGCTACTCAGGAGCGTGAGGCAGGAGAATTGCTTGAAACCGGGAGGCAGAGGTTGCAGTGAGCTGAGATCCTGCCACTGCACTCCAGCCTGGGAAACACAGTGAGACTCCGTCTCCAAAAATAATTTTTTAAAAAGGAATGTCTTGGACAGCCTCAGGGCCACTACAGAGCGTCTCCACTATGGCAACTCCTAGTGGAGTCATGCAGGTGGGGGGAAGCCTTCAAGACCCCAGACAGTAGAGCCACCCATGTGCATCACCAGCCTGGGAAAGCTGCAAGCATCCAACTTCAACATGTGAGAGCTGAAGACCGGGCTGCACCCATCAAAGCCATGGAGGTGGGGCTGCTCCGGGATTTGGGGGCCCAGCTCCTTCCCTAGTGTGTGGAAGGTAGGACATGAAGTCAAAGATTATTCTCAAGCCTAAAGCTTTAATACTGTTGGCCCTTTTGTGTTTTGGATTTTGTTAAGACCTATTACATTTTTCTTCTTTCCTATTTCTCCTTTGGAATCAAAATGTCTACCTCATGCCACTGTATTTTGAAAGCACATGACTTGTTTGATTTCATGGGCTCACAACTGGAGGCAGATTTGCCTCAGAATGAAGTCTTACCTAGATCTGACTTGGATGAGACTCTGGACTTTAGACGTTTGAGATGATGCTGGAATGAGTTAAGATTTGGGGGCTATTAAGATGGAATCAATGTATTTTTCATGTGAGAAAAACAAGAATTTGGGTGGGGGGGCTACAGGTGGAATGCTACAGTTTGAATGTGTGTGTCCCCTCCAAAATTCATAGGTTAAAGTCTTATCTCCAGTGTCACAGTGTTAAGAGGTGGGCCTTTAAGAGGTAATTAAGTCATGAGGGCAAAGTCCTCATGGATGGGATTAGAACTCATATACTTTAAAAATAAGGCTGGTGCGGTGGCTCACGCCTGTAATCCCACCACTTTGGGAGGCCGAGGCAGGTGGATCACGAGGTCAAGAGATCGAGACCATCCTGGTCAACATGGTGAAACCCCGTCTCTACTAAAAATACAAAAAACTAGCTGGGCATGGTGGCACGTGCCTGTAATCCCAGCTACTCAGGAGGCTGAGGCAGGAGAATTGCCTGAACCCAGGAGGTAGAGGTTGCGGTGAGCCGAGATCACGCCATTGCACTCTAGCCTGGGTAACAAGAGCGAAACTCCATCTCAAAAAAAAAAGGCTGGGCGCGGTGGCTTACGCCTATAATCCCAGCACTTTGGGAGGCCAAGGTGGGTGGATCACGAGGTCAAGAGATCGAGACCATCCTGGTCATCAAGGTGAAACCCCATCTCTACTAAAAATACAAAAATTAGCTGGGTATGGCGGTGTGCGCCTGTAGTCCCAGCTATTCGGGAGGCTGAGGCAGGAGAACTGCTTGAACCCAGAAGACGGAGGTTGCAGTGAGCCGAGATCGTGCCATTGCACTCCAGTCTGGGTAACAAGAGCGAAACTCCATTCCAAATAAATTTATAAAAAGAAAAAAAAATGAAAAATAAACATGACGGTTATGAAAATTGACCACATATGAGGCAGTAAAGGAAGCCTCATTCAGTTCCAGAGAATAAATGCAAACATGTGACTATCCAGCAATAGCATTAGAAAAAGATAACAAAAAGCCAAGCGTTTTGAATTAAAAAAGAATACAAAAAGTACAAAACATGAAAATGAATAGCAATGAAAACATTAAATGCCAAAATTGTGGGACATAGTTTATACAGTATTTAGAGGAAATTATAGCTTTAAATAACATGTATCAAGAAAAATAAAAAATTCTCAATCTAAAAGTCTGGAATAGGAAGAACACAGCACACTCAAAAAAACAAAAAAGATATTATAAAGATAAAGAAATCAATAAAATAGAGAATTAGAAAAAGGAGAAAAGGATAACACAACTGTGAGAGGGCTTTGAAAAGATCGATGATCAATAAGCCACATCAACCTCTGTTAAGGCTGATATTCAAAAACAGCACACATTCAAACAAGAAAATGAAAACGATGAAATAAGAAACATGAAGTTAAAATAATGAAAAATAGTATAAAGGACTTTTTGTAAGAAAAGTTGAAACCAGCCCGGATCCAAGATGGCCGATCGCTAACATCCCGGGATTGCAGCTCTCAGGGAAGGCGCGGAGAACTAGAGGACGCCACACTTTCAGACAAAGTCTGGTCGCTCACGGAGCAGAAGATCCCCCAGTGGTGGAAACACACGGGTCGCCAGCGCGACTCTCGTGGTCGGCGCAGCGGTTCCGCCGGCACCTCGGCGCGTCAGCTCTCGGAGCAGAGTAAACGGGACCGCTTCCCCTTCTGACCGAGGTTTGGAGCCCCGGGAAGGCAGAGTCCCCTACTACGGACACAAGAAGGAAGCCCGACAGGAGAATCCTGGGCAGAAAAGCACCATCAGTTTTAACGCCGCTGCTCTGGCCCTGGGAACTAACAACCTGGACGTGCACTCAAGAGACCTAATCTGAAAGTTGGTAATTTCAAAGACGAGAGGAGGATAAATTTACAATGACGGGAAGAAACCAGCGTAAAAAAGCTGAGAATACTCAAAGTCAGAACGCCTCTCCCTCTAAAGATGATCACAGTTCCACATCAACAATGGAACAAGGCTTGATGGAGAACGAGCGCCTCCTGATGACAGAATCACTCTTCAAGGAATGGATAATAACAAACTTCGGTGAGTTAAAAGAACATGTTGTAGCCCAACGTAAAGAAACTAGGAACTTTGACAAAAGGCTTGATGAAATCCTATTGAGAATAGACAACTTAGAGAGGAGTATGAGTGAATTAATGGAACTGAAGAATACAATACAGGAACTCCGAGAAGTATGCACAGGTTTAAACACTCGAATTGTTCAAGCAGAAGAAGGGATATCAGAGGTCAAAGTCCAACTTAATGAAATAAAACGTGAAGAAAAGATTAGAGAAAAAAGGATAAAAAGGAATGAGCAAAGTCTCCAAGAAATGTGGGACTATGTGAAAAGACCAAATTTACGTTTGATAGGTGTACCTGAATGCAACGGAGAGAATGAATCCAAGCTGGAAAATACCCTTCAGGATATTATTCAGGAAAATTTTCCTAAACTAGCAAAGCAGGTCAACATTCAACCCCAGGTAATACAGAGAACACCACAAAGATATTCCTCAAGAAGAGCAACCCCAAGGCACGTAATCGTTAGATTCACCAGGGTTGAAACGAAGGAGAGGATACTAAGGGCAGCCAGAGAGAAAGGTCGGATAACCCACAAAGGCAAGCCTATCAGACTTACAGCAGATCTCTCGGCAGAAACTCTACAGGCCAGAAGAGAGTGGGGGCCAATATTCAACATCCTCAAAGAACAGAACCTTCAGCCCAGAATTTCATATCCAGCCAAACTAAGCTTCACAACTGAAGGAAAAATAAAATCTTTTATGAACAAGCAAGAACTCAGAGATGTTATTACCACCAGGCCTGCTTTACAAGAGCTTCTGAAAGAAGCATTACACACAGAAAGAAACAACCAGTATTAGCCTTTCTAAAAATACACCAAAAAGTAAAGAGCACCAACATAAAGAAGAATTTACACCAACACATGGATAAAACAGCCAGTCAACATCAAATGGCAGTAACCCTAAATTTAAATTGACTAAATTCCCAATCAAAAGACACAGCCAAAACCCAACGGCATGTTACATCCAGACCTGTTTCACATGCAAGGATACACAAAGACTCAAAACAAAGGGATGGAGAAAGATTGACCAACCAAATGGAGAGCAAAAATAAATAATAAATAAATAAAAAGCAGGAGTTGCAATTCTTGTATCGGATAAAATAGATTTTAAAGCAACAAAGATATAGTGGTAAAAGGATCAATGCAACAAGAGCTAACGATCCTAACACCCAGATAGGAGACTTAGATTCAATGAGACAGAAAATTAATAAGGATATCAAGGACTCGAACTCAGATCCAGAACAAGTAAACTTAATAAATATTTATAGAGCTCTCCACTTCAAATACACAAAATATACATTCTTGTCAATACCACATCACACCTACCCATTAGTTTAAATGAAACATTGATTGGCCATTATTAATACCCAATTTTTTTCAAAATAAAGCAATATTTCCATTTACTCTCCCTCTTTCTCTTCCTCTTTCTTCCTCTCCTTTACTTATTTTTTTTTTTTCTTTCCTTCTCTCAAAAAAAAAGAAATCAACTTGTAAACCTCTAGATACAAGGTCGGCAATGTCTCTTTCATTGCTTGATTTCCTTTCTTCCCTTCCCTCCCTCCCTCCCTCCCCGCTTCCTCCCTTCCTTCCTTCCTTCATCCCTTCCTTCCTCCCTACCGTCCTTCTTCCCTTCCTTCCTGCCTTCCTCCCCCCCCAAAAAAAAAAAAAAAAAAAAAAAAAAAAGTTGAAACCTAAGTTCAAATTAACATTTGAATAAACTTAATAAACTGAAGTCATGTATAGAGACACTCCTTCTGGGAAAAGAAAAGTATCAAGGCCAGATGGATTTATAACTAGGTCTTAACATTTACGAATGGATTTGATAAATCATTTGATAAGGGATAAACAGGGTAAGAATAAACAGCTCAGGCCATGCGCGGTGGCTCACGCCTGCAATCCCATCACTTTGGGAGGCCAAGGTGGATGGATCACCTGAGGATGCGAGTTCAAGACCAGCCTGACCAACAGGGAGAAACTCCATGTCTACTAAAAATACAAAATTAGCCAGTCATGGTGGCACATGCCTGTAATCCCAACTAATCAGGAGCCTGAGGCAGGGGAATCGCTTGAACCCGGGAGGCAGAGGTTGCAGCAAGCCGAGATCAGGCTGAGATCACACCACTGCATACCAGCTTGGGCAACGAGAGTGAAACTCTGTCTCAAAAAAAAAAAAAAAGAAGACGAAGAAGAAACACTTCATTGAAAGTGTCCAGATGAGTGACAGGTATACAGAGATGTGCTCTAATTCACCAGGAGTCCATAATAATGCAAACTAACACATTTCAAGAACGAGCATTTGCAAGGATGTAAAAGAGGTGCTGCTGGAGAGAATGTAAACGCTTGGAGCCATTCCAGAAAGCAATCTAGTTTTCCTGGTAAAATTAACTGTACAAAAACTCTTTATCCCACTAGCCAACTCCTGGGCAAATAGTCTAATCTAGTTCAGGTCCACAAGGAGAATGCATTCCAGAATATTCTTTGTGGCAGCCAGGAGTTGTACCCATCACTACAGGAACAGATAAGTAGAATGTAGTAAATATACAGGATGAATTACTACACAGATGTTAGACGTGATGAACAGCATTAGAGCACTGTACACAGAGAAATGTGAAAAATCTAAAAACCAATTCTCAGTAGAAAAAAAAGAATTTGTAGCCTAGTACCATTAGTGTAAATTTTAAACACAAAACATATGACCTATCTGGTAGGGATACACATTCATTTAAGGAGTGCATATCAAACACACCTGTATATGCCTGTGAATACGAATGGGACTTACAGAGGGGGGGACAAACCAAGAAATTAGTGTCACAGTAAATGACTTTGATAATGTACTACAAATTGAAATATGAAAAAAAATCAATACAAAATGAAAAAAAGAAGAAAAAAAAACAAGCGTCATGCCTGTCTTTTTCTTTTCCTGGCCTCTGTTAATAAAAGTCAGCATCATGGCTGGACACCTATAATCCCAGTACTTTGGGAGGCCGAGGTGAGCGGATCACCTGAGGCCAGGAGTTCAAGACCAGCTTGGCCAACATGGTGAAACCCCATCTCTGCTAAAAATATAAAAAGTAGCTGTTAGCCAGGCATGGTAGCAGGCACCTATAATCCCAGCAGCTACTCAGGAGGCTGAGGCAGGAGAATCACTTGAACCCGGGAGGCAGAGGTTGCAGTGAGCGGAGATTGCAACATTGTACTCCAGCCTGAGCAACAAGAGCAAAACTCCATCCTAAAAAAAAATTCAAACAGAGAGAGTGCTGAGAGACTCTAGAGCTGCAGTTACCGCTCCAGGATCAGAGAGATGGGCTGTGGCCACTGCTGTTCGGGACTCAACACATGTACAGAGAGGCAGGACGTGGGCTGAATTCACAATTCTGTCTCCCATGAGTAGCTGGCTTTCAGGGACACAATCCAACTCCTTGTGATTGATTTTATCATAACAATAACCCCATTGTTAACTATTTACAAATATTACATTCTTTCAGTTAATCCTCACAAAAATTCAAAAGGCTAGAATTATGATTTGTTTTACAGATAACTAAACTGAGCCTGAATCACTTCAAGTTCTCCTGAAAAAGAGTTGACATCCATATGTAGATGTAACTCCAAAGTCCCCTACTTGTCACAATGTGAAAAGAGCAGATCCTTTCACTACTTTTTCTGGTAGAATATGTGAGGAATTACTGTGTAAATGCCTGCGTGAGAAAGCTATCCAGGAAGGTGACTTATTCCTGTTATGAAGTGTAGCCACCTCGTGGCTTCCAGGAATCCACTTTTCTCCACCGTCCAATCCGTTACCTCCCTGTCTTGAGTTTTGTGAACAAAGTTCAAAATCTTAGTAGGGTATAACAAAATACATTGAGAAAGAACTAGAAATCAGCATGAAGCCATGTTCTATAAAGGAAACATTTTCCCCCAGCGATCTCTAAAAGGGACTCGATCATAATGGCAGCAATTTTGTCCAAAATACCTGTGCTGGAGGGAGCACACAGTTTGCTTAAAGTAATCCCCAGTGGCTAAATTCTGTCAATTAAGCATCAATATTAAATACATTATAATTAAGTGAAATTTCTCTAGATTGTAAAAGGCCATAAATTCATCTGAGTCAAATGTGTTAAAATGTAACACATAAATATGAGACATGATAGATGAGAATAAATAAGTATAAAGTGTAAATGTATATATACCAATGTAGTTATAAAGGCATATAAACATGTCTATAGGTGTGTATATGTAGTTTGGATAGATGGATGGCTAGGTAGGTAGACAGACAGACAGACAGACAGACAGAGATCTTCTCTCTCTCAGGTCTTCACTCAAAAGTTAACTTCAGAAGGGGCCTTCCCTGGCTCCCCACCACTTCCTTCATCTTTTTCTCCTTAGAATTTACTCACTTATATATTTGACTTATACATCTTTTTCATTGTCTTCCTCATTAGAAATTAGATCTCTGAAGGCGGAAATTTTTGTCTGTTTGGTTCACTGCTGTATCTCCATTGCTTAGATTAGAACAAAGCCTGGCACGTATTAGGCACTTAATACAAAAAATTTAAATGAAATATATATCTTCAGATAACACACACACACACAAACCGAAATCTCTAGATGGTACTAATAACAATCAAATATTAATAAGGCATAGATTTTCACAAATGCTAAGAGATAACAGATCACAAGACAATGGGTTGTAGAGTGGGAGACAAAATGTAGCACCTCATTGTAAGGAGAAACATCAGATTGCAAAATACAGAAACTTATGTTAAAGTCATGGGTATAAAAGATTTTATCAACATTACAAGTGAAGTTTAACTGTATAAACAGTGAGTGAACCGGTGGCTTAGGTTTTTGTCACTCTAGAGGATGAAATCAGGTGCCATACTTAGATCAAAAATCAATTAGTAACTGGGCACAGTGGCTCACCCCTGTAATCTCAGCACTTTGGGAGACCTCTAAGTCCTTGAGGCCGAGGTGGACAAATCACTTCAGGCCAGGAGTTCAAGACCAGCCTGGGCAACCTGGCGAAACTCCAACTCTACAAAAAAACACAAAACTTAGCCAGGTATAGTGGAGCATACCTGTAGTCCCAGCTACTCAAGAGGCTGAAGTGGGAGGGTCACTTGAGCCCGGGAAGTTGAGGCTGCAGTTAGCCATGATTGTGTCACTGCATTCAGCCTGGGTAACAGAGTGAGACTCTGTCTCAAAAAAAAAAAAAATCAATTAGTGAGTAACTCAGACTCTTTACTGGTCCCAGGTTTGGTAAGTTTACGGTAACCTTGTGAAACTTTCCGAAATAAATTATTACTTAGTGCTTGGAAATTACAAAAATAAATATCCCCCATACCTCCAGGAAATACAATTTAAAAATAAAGAAATGATGACAAGGCCGGGCGCGGTGGCTCAAGCCTGTAATCCCAGCACTTTGGGAGGCCGAGGTGGGTGGATCACGAGGTCAACAGATCAAGACCATCTTGGTCAACATGGTGAAACCCCGTCTCTACTAAAATTACAAAAAAATTAGCTGGGCACGGTGGTGCGTGCCTGTAATCCCAGCTGCTCGGGAGGCTGAGGCAGGAGAATTGCCTGAACCCAGGAGACGGAGGTTGCGGTGAGCAGAGATCGCGCCATTGCACTCCAGCCTGGGTAACAAGAGCGAAACTCCGTCTCAAAAAAAAAAAAAAAAAAAAGAAATGATGACAAGAATTAAGCTTATAATAGTAACATTTTAGATTCCATGTAACATCAGTTTGGAAACATTTTATAATCATATTGTTTCTGTTCAAGGGTTGAAGTACTGAGTCACTAAATCTGTATTTTAAGCTGTTTAAAGGGAATTTGAATATTTATGAAAAATAATTTTCAGATTTTTATTAAAGTATAAATTGAATATTAAACAAATTATACACACATATAAATCCTTCATTCCTTCCTCATTCATTTGTTCTGATATGTTTTTATAGAAGTTCTTCAGGCAACGCCCAATATTCTTACTGGTTCTGACTGTTCAAGATGGCCCAGCTGCCATGTCGCCAGGTTATTTCCCTACATCCATCCAGAAAAGAAAGAAATGTATTGCCTCACAACTTCACCTTCACTACTCCCAAGAGTGGAAATTATTTAGTCTCTAACAATTTTAGGCATTAACTGCTTTACTTTTACCATTTGTTAAAAACAAGTCATTCTATCTGCCAGTGATATTTTTGTCTGATATCTCCAGCTGCAAAGAAGTTATCCATAAAGTTCTTAAACCAAATGTAGAGCCCACCCACAAAAGACCTCATTTACGATTTTATTATATTTTGCCACAGAATATGTTTAGACCCATACTGAAAGAAGAAAATTAAGGTCTTCCTTGAAAATGAAGAGCCATTCATTAAACAAATGAAACCATTATTCTCTTAGCTTTCCATTCTCTTTTTTTTTTTTTGAGATGGAGTTTCGCTGTTGTTACCCAGACTGGAGTGCAATGGTGCGATCTTGGCTCACTGCAACCTCCGCCTTCTGGGTTCAAGCAATTCTCCTGCCTCAGCCTCCTGAGTAGCTGGGACTACAGGTGCGCACCACCATGCCCGGCTAATTTTTGCATTTTTAGTAGAGATGGGTTTTCACCTTGTTGACCAGGATGGTCTCGATCTCTTGACCTCGTGATCCACCTGCCTTGGCCTCCCAAAGCGCTGGGATTATAGGCGTGAGCCACCGCGCCCGGCCTTCTATTCTCTCTTTACAGGCATATGGTGACTCACTGTGACAAATGATTTTAACTCCTTAAGGGAGAGCCTGTTAGAGAATTTTACTTGGTGAATTTTATAATATTCATCCACATTGCAAAAAAAAAACTAAGAAACACTAAAATAATTTATCGACAAGTAAAATCTAACAATGGTCTCAGCTTTGTGGAGGCTGTATATTTGACTTTCATAAACTTATTATATCGTAAGTTTTCTCTTCAGAATAAACAACTATGCCATGTAAAAAATTAAGGCTTTCTCATATGGGTAGCAAACACAGAATGTGTGAATCAGTACTCTAATTTCCTGAGGCAAAAATCTAATCCAAATTCAGTTAAGCCAAAAAAAAAAAAAAGGAAATTTATTGGAAAATAAAAAAAGAAAAAGGATGGCGGTGCTGTCAAGAATGGCTGGATCCAGGAGATCAAACAGTATCATCAGATTTCCCCCTCATCTCCATTTTCCTCTGTTAGATTTCTCTTTGGGAAAGCTTTCCTCATGAGTGGCAAAACGGCTACTGGCGAGTTTTTAATCTTATTAAATCCTTTAAACTTGCAATTCCAGAAAAAACATCTCTCTTACTACCCATAGCAATAACCCCAAAGGACTTCACTGATCCACACAGAGCCATCTGCCAATCTCGTATCACTAGGTTGTGGGATATAATTGGCCAGCCTGTGACCAATCATGCCTGTAACCCCACACTTTGGGAGGTGGAGGTGGGTGAATCACCTGAAGTCAGGAGCTTGAGACCAGCCTAACCAATATGGTGAAACTCCATCTCTACTAAAAATACAAAAATTAGCCAGGTATGATGGTGGGTACCTGTAATCCCAGCTACTCAGGAGGCTGAGGCAGGAGGATTGCTTGAACCCAGGAAGTGGAGGCTGCAGTGAGCCAAGACGGCACCACTGCACTCCAGCCTGGGCAACAGAGCAAGACTCTGTCTCAAAAAACAAAACAAAACAAAACAAAAAGTAATGGACATCTATGAATGAGCTACTTCAAATAATGGATACTCATAAACTGAAATATGCACTACAGTCAAAAATTACTAACCAAAAAGAACTCACTAATATTCAATAAGGACTGATGACAACCCCATGTTTTCTTTCCTATACTTGTTATAATCAGAGTGTTTCTCTATTATGAATTCTCTGGTGTCGTCTAAGGGCTGAGACACAGCTAAAATTATTCCCACATTCGTTACATTTATAAGGTTTTTCTCCAGCATGAATTCTCTGGTGTAGCCTTAGGGACAAGATCTGATGAAAAGCCTTCCCACATTCATTACATTCATAGGGTTTCTCTCCAGTATGAATTCTCTGATGGTGATTGAGATAAGAGCCACAGCTGAAAGCCTTCCCACATTTGTTACATTCATAGGGCTTCTCTCCTGCATGACTTCTCTTGTGGTGAATTAGAACTAAAGCATCGCTGAAGGCTTTCCCACATTTATTGCATTCAAATGGTCTCTCTCCAGTATGAATTCTATTATGCCGATTCAGCTGTGAGTCAGTCCTAAAAAACTTCCCACATTTGATGCACTCATAGGGCTTTTCTCCGGTATGAATTCTCTGATGTTGATTCAGGTGCGAGCGATAGCCAAAGGTCTTCCCACATTCACTACATTTGAAAGGTTTCTCTCCTGTGTGAATTCTCTGATGCAGAGTAAGGGCTATGCGTCTGCTGAAGGCTTTTCCACATTGACTGCATTCATAGGGTTTCTCTCCGGTGTGAATCCTCTGATGTTGGTTGAGGTGTGCACTCTGTCGGAAGGCTTTGTTACATTCCTTACATTCATATGGTTTCTCACCTGTGTGAATTCTCTGATGTTCAACAAGGAAGGCATAACGGCTAAAGGCCTTCCCACATTCATTGCACGCAAACGGTTTCTCTCCAGTGTGGATCCTCTGATGTTGGGCAAGGTGTGCACTCTGTCTGAAGGCTTTGTTACATTCCTTACACTCATAAGGTTTCTCCCCGATATGAGTTCTTTGATGGTCACTGAGAAAGAAGTGATGGCTAAATGCTTTGCCACAGTCGTTGCATGTACATGGTTTCTCTCCACTGTGAATTCTCTGAGGTTGAGTAAAGAACGAGTAACAGCTAAAGGCCTCACCACAGTCACCATATCCATGGGGTAATTTTCCAAAATGAGTGGTCTGATGTTGAGTAAGCAATGAGTGGAAACTTAAGAGATTTGAAAAATCATTACTTTCATAAGGTTTCTCACTAACAGGAATTCCTATATCTTTAAAACCAGAGTATGTACTCTGGTTGAATTCTTCACATTCATTACCTATCAAAGATTTCTTCTCAGCACAGAGGCTTTTATATTCAATTATGACTGAATTTTGGGAAAAGATTTTATCATAAATATCAAATTTATGTACTTGCTGTATGGTAGGAACTTCCTGTTGTCTTAAAAATACCGATTTCAGGGGTGTGCTTCTCCCAGAATTACTATATTCTTCGTCTCTTTCCCCAGTAGAGATTTCCTTCACTGCTATCACTGGCGTGAAATGCTTCTCCTCATTTCCCTGATGTAGCTCAAACCCACCGTTGTATTTCCGGGCTTCTCTGAAACGGCAGCAGTCAAGGCCATGACTTGCTAGCCTTTCCATGACCACCTCCTGGGATATTTCATCTTCCTCAGTGAACCATTTTGGAGATAATTCCTTGACGTCACACCAAGACTCCCAGTCTGAAAAATATCAAGAAAGCAAATGTCTGCTTTGTTCTCTTGCTACTAGGAAGAAAACTGTTATAGAAGAAATGGAAGAATTTAACTGGGGGGAAGGAGGGTAGAAAGTACAGGGTTCTAACATCCTAGATGTGGCCATGCAATATGAACAAAAGAGAATGGAAACACAAAGAATAGAGAGCTGAGAAGGGAATGTGTATGTGTTGCTGAAGGGGAGGTGGAAGTTGGGGAAATAGGTAAAATGCAGGTCATCAAAAAGCAGGCAAATCTACATGCTAACAGGGTAAGGAATTGAGGATGTCTGATTAGATCACAGCCAGTTTCCCTGCCTCTAGTCTTTAAAGCCTCCAGTCCCTCCTGCACTGGAATTCATGACTGAAAGCTCCATGAGGGCAGGCATTGACATTCACTCCCTTTTCTTCTACTATTGCATCCAATGCCTTGGACAATGTCAGCACATTGTTAAATGAATGACTTCTGCTGGATGAATTTCATAACAACTTTTCCCACTAATGCTATTCAACAACTAAGATTTCTATCAGGGTCCAGGGCAGACTCATATATATATATATTTTTCCCAGTGATTAAAAGAAACCTGGTGGTCAGCTTTTCCCATCATTGAGGGAAAATGATGATACTGAGAAGATATGTGATGCTTTCAAGAGAGGATATTGGTTGGGGTAAGGCAGAATGAAAACTATTTTTTAGAAGATGATCTCAAAAAATGAGAAAGTCCTTTTCACACCACAATAATCAGCCAATATATTCAAATATATAGAATCTAGTAGTAGGCCCCCAGTACCTAATAGATGGGGGAGAAGCCTGACACAGGGTCTTTCTACCCTTTGTAAATTCTGAGAGCTCAAGCCTGTGCATATGATTATTCCATATGACACACAATGAAGAATGAGCTAATATGTGATAGATTATTAGAGGTATCAACTTCAGGAAAAAATAGATCAAAACTCACGAGCTTAGTTAATGAATAATTCTTGGAGAATATGAGCTCCATTTTCAAGGCTATAATCAGGATTCCAAAACATAGTGACTATTTCAGTGACAGAGACATTTTCATGTTTATATGGGGTTAGAGATTATTTTACAACTACATAGTTTGGCATTAGGGGTTAAATAGATACAGTATTTGCCATAACAGTTTCCCATCCGTTGAAAAGTAAAGCTGTCTCCAGTATAGGTCAGAACAAAATTGAAAAGAAAATATTATTCATCTACATCTTTCTTCTTTCCAATACACCCTTCACCTAACAAAGCCCTCAGCCCTATCACACAGCCTTGGATTTTCTTACCAGGGCCCCATGTACACCCAGGTCTAAGAGGATTTGTTTGCCTATCCTTGGTTAGAATTCATTCATTCTTTCTTTCTTTCTTTCCCTAGAAATACAACTACTTCTGTTCCCTCACTCACTTGCCAGGATCTCATCTCTTATATACATCAACTGAAGCCACTATATTCATCTTACCAAAATTAAGTCTTTATTCCAGACAAATAGCAGGTTTAGACAATAACCAACTTACTGCCGAATAAAAGGAGCCTGATGGGAGAAGACTGCAGATATTTTCCAATATGGGGGACTCTGAAGTGCCTGGAGCTCCAACCACTATCTTTACACATAGACTTACAGTTTGGATCCCCTTGATTAAAAGACTGTATAGAGCTATGCTATCCAATATGAGAGCCACTAAGTATATGTGGCAATTCAAATTTAAATCACATTTTAATATTAGTTCCTCAGTCACACTAGTCACACTTTTAAGCACTCTAAGCTAAATGTGGCTAGTGGCTACTGTATTAGAAAGTACACATATAAATTATTTCCATCATCACAGAAAGTTCTACTAGAGGCTGAGCATGGGGGCTCTGCCTGTAATCCCAGCACTTTGGAGGCCGAAGTGGGTGGATCACTTGAGCCCAGAGGTTCAAGGCCAGCCTGGCCAACATAGTGAAACCCCGTCTCTACTAAAAATACAAAAATTAGCCAGGTGCAATGGCTCACACCTGTAATTCCCGCTACTCAGATGGCTGAGGCACGAGAATTGCTTGAACCAGGAGGCAGAAGTTGCAGTGAGCTGAGATCATGCCACAGCAAGCACTCCAGCCTGGGTGACACAGTAAAACTCTGTCTAAAAAAAAAAGAAAGAGAGAGAAAGAGAGAGAGAGAGAGAGAGAGAGAGAGAGAAAGCAAGCTCTACTAGACAGAACTGGACACTAATATTACCCTGCACTAATATTACAAAGATCTTATGGCAAATGAGGAAACAACAGAAAAACAGGGAAAAGAGTCCGTTAAAGGGAGAGGACAGAGCTGTGAAAAGAGAAAATGGTTAGTGGTAAGAACTATCTTATACATCTCAATAAGCTAAGAATATGAAAATGAAGAAGGCACCTGGATTTAGCTCAGCTAGAGGCGCAGAAGCCAGATTGCAGGTGGTAAGACAGTGGAAGAGAACCTGAGGTGCAGGCAGTGAGTTAAGATTACAACTGCTGTGTAAGTCATTGGAAGGGAGAAGGAAGCATGAGTCGCAAGAATATGAAAAACGTCCTACAAAATGTTACTAAACTCTTTTAAGTAAGATTTAAATGAACCACTGTAATATATAATTGCACCAAAACAAAAAATATATATGCATACTTTTTTACCACAGGTTAATTTATATCAGGTCAGTTTCAACCAGAATTCCATAAAGATTTTTTTTCCAAACTTAAAATTATTGTAAAGAAACTTGGACAAAAATAATCAATAATATAAAAGAAAATTATGAACAAAAAAAGAACATTCCAAAACCAGTAACATGACCTCAGCCCTTGCATTTTTATACCTTTCTTCCATAAAAATCTCTGTGAAAGAACTCGACCAGGGTTGACTTGTAAAATTCTCTATCATTGTGGAAAATGTCAAGAAAGAATATCAATGGAAACACTTGGAGCATTAAAAACTTGTAAGATACAGAGAACACAGTGAAGGAGAGCATGACCTCCTCACTACCGTCCTGGCCACATCTGGTTAAAGGGAATGAATTTGACATTAACCTTAAAAACATGTGAGTGGGAGAAAATACCACAAAGTCAAAAGGCCAGGAACAATCTGAGAAAAAACAACTAAAACATGTAGCTTAGAAAAATGAATAATGCCTAGAATTTAGTTCTACTATAAAACAATAAGAAAAAGACAACCTAATTCTCCAAAATTGGAAGTATGCCAGTAATCCCAACAGTTTGGGAAGCCGAGACAGGAGGATCGCTTCAGCCCAGGAGTTCTAGATCAGCCTGGGCAACACAGGAAGACCTCATCTCTACAAGAAAAATAAACAAAAAAATGAAGCAGGTGCAGTGGTGCGTTACACTGACATGGGAAGACTGATTGAGCTCAGGAGGCAGAGGCTGCAGTGAGCCAAGGTCATGCCACTGCACTCCAGCCTGCACAACAGAGTGAGAACCCGTCTCAAAAAAATATATGAGCAGAGAAGACAAAAACTTCATAGACAATGCATTCCTGGAAAGATGATTAATAATATCACTAGTAAATTAAAGCCATAAGAGCATTTCCCTTCCTCATATCAGCAGAAATTTCAGTTAGACAATATTAAAGACAATATCAAAAACTTAAGGCCAGGCATGGTGACTCACATCTGTAATTATAGCACTTTGGGAGGCTGAGGCAGGCAGATTCCCTGGGCTCAGGAGTTCGAGATCAGCCTGGGCAACATGGTGAAACTCCCATCTCTACAAAAATGCAAGAAAAAAAAAAAAAAATTAGCCGGGTGTGGCAGTGTATGCCTGTAGTCCCAGCTACTCAAGAGGCTGAGGCAGGAGAATCGCTTGAACCTGGGAGGCAGAGGTTGCAGTGAGCCAGTATCGCACCACTGCACTCCAGCCTGGGCACAAGAGTGAGACTCGGTCTCTAAAGAAATAAAAACAAACAAAAAAAAACCTAAGTTGAAGAATATCTAGAGAGGAAGGAAAAGGCATTCTCAGACACTATCATTGTTAGTACGAGCAGAAACTGATACAATCACTGCCCAGAACAAGTTGGGTATCTTTTAAATTAAAACTTACACTTCCATGTTCCAGTAATTTCACTTTGAGGTACAAATTTCTTTTCTTTTCTTTTTTTCTTTATTTTTTTTGAGACAGGGTCTTGCTCTGTAGCCCAGCCTAGAATGGAGTCCAGTGGCATTATCACAGCTCAATGCAGCCTTGACCTCCCAGGATTAAGTGACCCTCCTACTTCAGTCTCCTGAGTAGCTCAAACAATAGGCACACAGCAACATGCCAGGTTAATTTTTTTTTGTCCGAGACAGATTCTTGCTCTGTTGCTCAGGCTGGAGTGCCGTGGCGTGAACTCAGCTCACTGCAACCTCCACCTCCCAGTTTCAAGCAATTCTCCTGCCTCAGCCTCCCAAGTAGCTGGGATTATAGGCACCCACCACTATGCCTGGCTAATTTTTGTATTTTTAATAGAAGTGGGGTTGACTATGTTTGCCAGGCTGGTCTTGAACTCCTGACCTCAAGTTATCCTCCCACCTTAGCCTCCCAGAGTGCTGGAATTGCAGGCATGAGCCATTGCACCCAACCTGAAAGTATTTTTTAAAAACTACAGAACCCAGAAAAATACAAATAAAAATAGAGACAATATATAGAATTAAAACCAAATTTATCGAGGGATAGGGGAAGATGGTGCTGTAGAAGCAACTCAGGATTGCAGCTCTCAGTGAAGGCGCAGAGAGTGAGTGAGTGGGTCTGGAAAACGCCGCATTTCCAGACGGATGTTTGTTGCCCACAGAACAAGGAAATTCCCAGGTGTAGGAGAGACATGGGACGCCAGTGCAGCTGTTTCAGCTGGCGCAGCCATTTCAGCCGGCGCCGCAGTGCAGCGGCACTTTGCACAAAATGCACTGGTCTGGGTGCCTTGTTAAACCGGCAGTTTGAGATTTGGGAGGGCAGATTAGCATATTCATCTGATTAAACAGGACTTGGACAGTGAGCCAGGCCAGGAGATTCCCAGGAAATGACGTTTGAGCCGGCGCAGTGGGTCGCTGCATGGGAAATCACACAGATCCCGGTGCCCTTTCAGCAGGCGACTGAAACACCTGGGAGAGAGTCACCCGTTCAAGTTAAAGAAAAAAAACAAAAGGGCTCTGAGGCAGGGAGCCAGGTGATCAGGCTCGGCGGGTCCCACCCCCACAGGGACAAACAAAACAGCAATTCGAAATGCTCGGGGTTGAGAGTTTCAGGGCGGGCACAGCTGAACCCAGGATGGTGCAGCTCAGTGGGGGAGGGGCATCCACCATTACCAAGACATTCCACCCCTACTAAGGTACTCTCCCATTGCTGACGCAGCCTGCCATTGCCAAGGCAACCTGCCATAACAGAGAAAGTCCACCAATACAGAGGCGGGCCACCATCACCACAGCAGTTCTAACCACACCCATATAAGCAGGACTACAGGGAATTACACTTGGCAGCAGGGCGGAGCCCACGACAGCAGGGCAGAGCCCACGGCAACAGGGCGGACCCCACAGCAGCAGGGCAGAGCCTCAGCAGGCAAATAGTGACTCAACTGCCTCCTAGCTGGGCAGGACAGTGCAACGGATACTCATAAATAAAGCCCTAACTCCCCGAGACAGAGCATCTGATGGAAGAAAAGGGCTTTATGAGTTCTGTGGCAGCAGACTTAAACGTACCTGCCTAGCAGCCCTGAATGAACAACAGCGCTCACAGCTCAGCACTTGAGCTCCTATAAAGTACAGACCGTCTCCTCAAGCAGCTCCCTGACCCCTGTATATCCAAAGAGTCACCTCAAAAAGGACTGATCAGACTGATATTTGGCGGGCATCATTCTGGGACAAAGATAGCAGAAGAAGAAACTGGTAGCATCCCTCACTGTTCTGCAGCTGCTACAGGTGTACCCCAGGCAAGCAGGGCCTGGAGTGGACCTCAGCAGTCTTACAGCAGAGGGGCTAGACTGTCAGAAGGAAAACTAAGAAACAGAAATACTTCATCATCAACAATCTGGGTGTCCACTCAGAGACCCAATCGAAAAATCAGCAACTACTCAGACGACAGGTGGATAAATCCACAAAGATGGGAAGAAACCAGTGCAAAAAGGAGGAAAACACCCGAAACCAGAACACCTCGCCTCCTACAAAGGACCTAAACTCCTCACCAGCAAGGGAACAAAGCTGGACAGAGAATGAGTGTGATGAAATGACAGAATCAGACTTCAGAAGGTGGGTAATGAGAAACTTCTGTGAGCTAAAAGAACATGTTCTAAATCAATGCAAAGAAACTAAGAACCTTGAAAAAAGATTTGAGGAAATGATAACAAGAATGGACAACTTAGAGAGGAATATGAATGAATTGAAGGAGCTGAAAAACACAACACAAGAACTTCGCGAAGCATGAACAAGTTTCAACAGCTGAATTGACCAAGCAGAAGAAAGGATATCAGAAGTCGAAGATCAACTCAATGAAATAAAACAAGAAGCCAAGATTAGAGAAAAAAGCGCAAAAAGGAATGAACAAAGTCTCCAAGAAATGTGGGACTATGTGAAGAGACCTAACCTACGTTTGATAGGTGTACCAGAATGTGATGAGGAGAATGAATCCAGCTGGAAAATACTCTTCAGGATATTATTCAGGAAAATTTCCCCAACCTAGCAAGGCAGGCCAATATCCAAGTCCAGGAAATACAGAGAACACCACAAAGATATTCCACAAGAAGAGCAACCCCCAAGGCACATAATCATCAGATTGAAATGAAGGATAAAATTCTAAGGGCAGCCAGAGAGAAAGGTCGGGTCACCCACAAAGGGAAGCCCATCAGACTCACAGCAGATCTCTCGGCAGAAACTCTACAAGCCAGAAGAGAGTGGGGGCCAATAGTCAACATCCTTAAAGAAAAGAACTTTCAACCCAGAATTTCATATCCAGCAAAACTGAGCTTCATAAGTGAAGGAAAAATAAAATCCTTTGCAAACAAGCAAGCACTCAGAGATTTTGTCACCACCAGGCCTGCTTTACAAGAGCTCCTGAAAGAGGCACTACACATAGAAAGGAACAACCAGTACCAGCCATTCCAAAATATAACAAATGCTAAAAAGCATCAACAAAATGAAGAATCTACATCAACTAATGGGCAAAACAGCCAGGTAGCATCAAATGGCAGTATCAAATTCACACATAACAATATTAACCCTAAACGTAAATGGGCTAAAAGCACCAATCAAAAGACACAGACTGGCAAATTGGATAAAAAGCCAAAACCCATCGGTGTGCTGTATCCAGGAAACCCATCTCACATGCAAGGATACACAAAGGCTCAAAATAAAGGGATAGAGGAAGATTTACCAAGCAAATGGAGAGCAAAAAAAAAAGCAGGAGTTGCAATTCTCATCTCTGATAAAATAGACTTTAAAGCAACAAAGATCAAAAGAGACAAAGAAGGCCATTACATAATGGTAAAAGGATCGATACAACAAGAAGAGCTAACGATCCTAAATATATAGGGACCCAATACAGAAGCACCCAGATATATAAGGCAAGTTCTTAACGACTTACAAAGAGACTTAGTAAAATCCTGGGTAACAAGGATACCCAGGGCTTGAACTCAGACCTGGAACAAGCAAACCTGATAGACGTTTACAGAACTCTCCACCCCAAATCCACAGAATATACATTCTTCTCAGCACCACATCACACCTACTCTAAAATTGACCACATAATTGGAAGTAAAGCACTCCTTAGCAAATGCAAAACAACTGAAATCATAACAAACAGTCTCTCAGACCATAGTTCAATCAAGTTAGAACTCAGAATTCAGAAACTAACTCAGAACCACACAGCTTCATGGAAACTGAACAACTGGCTCTTGAATGTTGATTGGATAAACAATGAAATGAAGGCAGAAATAAAGAAGTTCTTCGAAACCAACAAGAACGAAGACACAACATACCAGAATCTCTGGGACACATTTAAAGCAGTATCTAGAGGAAAATATATAGCAATAAGTGCCCATATGAGAAGAGTGGAGAGATCCAAAATTGACACCCTATCGTCAACATTGAAAGAGCTAGTGGGAGCAGGATCAAAAAAACCCAAAACCTAGCAGAAGACAAGAAATAACTAAGATCAGAGCAGAACTGAAGGAGATAGAGACATGAAAAACCCTTCAAAAAATCAATAAATCCAAGAGCTGGCTTTTTGAAAAGATCAACAAAATCTGATAAAAAAAAAAAAAGAAAAGAGAACAACCAAATAGATGCAATAAAAAACGATAAAGGGGAAATCACCACAGATTCCACAGAAATTCAAACCATCATCAGAGAATATTACAAACAACTCTATGCACATAAACTAGTAAACCTGGAAGAAATGGATAAATTCCTGGACTCCTGTGTCCTCCCAAGCCTAAACCAGGAGGAAGCCGAAACTATGAATAGACCAATAACAAGGTCTGAAGTCGAGGCAGCAATTAAGAGCCTACCACACAAAAAAAGCCCAGGTCCAGATGGGTTCACAGCAGAATTCTACCAGACACACAAAGAGGAGCTGGTACCATTCCTTCTGAAACTATTCCAAATAATCCAAAAAGAGGGAATCCTTCCTAATTCATTTTATGAGACCAACATCATCCTGATGCCAAAACCCAGCAGAGATTTAACAAGAAAAGAAAACTTCAGGCCAATATCCATGATGAACATAGATGCAAAAATCTTCAATAAAATACTGGAAAGTCAATTGCAACAGCACATCAAAAAGCTTATCCACCATGATCAAGTAGGATTCATCCCAGGGATGCGAGGCTGGTTCAACATATGCAAGTCTATAAACGTAATTCACCACATAAACAGAACCAAAAACAAAAACCACATGATTATCTCAATTGACGCAGAGAAGGCCTTTGACAAAATTCAACAGCCCTTTATGCTAAAAACCCTCAATAAACTCGGTATTGATGGAATGTATCTCAAAATAATAAAAGCTATTTACGACGAACCAACAGCCAATATACTGAATGGGCAAAAACTGGAAGCATTCCCTTTGAAATCCGGCACTAGACAAGGATGCCCCCTCTCTCACCACTCCTATTCAATATAGTACTGGAAATTCTAGCCAGAGCAATCAGGCAAGAAAAAGAAATAAAGGGTATTCAA